CCTCTGCCCCACGCTCGAGGAGAAGCCGCACAACCGATTCGTCCCCCTGAATGCGGCTGCTTGTAGTGCGTTGCCAAACTCGCCACCCTGAGCATTCACCTCTGCCCCACGCTCGAGGAGAAGCTGCACAACCGATTTGTTCCCCCGAATTGCAGCTGCTTGTAGTGCATTGCCGTAACCACCACCCTGTGTATTCACGTTTACTGGGTCCTCTTTTCTATTGACAAGGAATTTACAGGCCATCACCAAATTTAAAAGAGAGGAATAGTAGATAGCTGATGGGTAGTCATCGGAACCCGAGGGTCCATACCAGAAATCATCAGGGTTATATATATCCAACCACCCGCCACCGAGCCCGAGGACTTTCAATGCAGCGTCGGAGAGTGGAGTGGGTGCCGTATCCTCGATGGATCTGAGATACACGAACCAGTAGCGAGCACTGTGGTAGAGAAATGTCGTTCTTTCGACTTTGTTCCTCCGTAGAGTACCTTGCCCGCTGTGCCGCAGTATTCGACCAAGACAAGCATGGCTCAAGAGTAAATTGGCTTTATCTTCCGAAATGTGGTAGAAGGCGCTGGGGCCCTGGGCGGTGCGGTCGGAGATCAAATATTCCTTTACCGAGAAATGCGCTAGTCGTAATCTACAGTTTTCCTGGGCGAATGATTCACCGTCCCTGGCATCTTCGAAGGAAATAAGGCTTGGGCAAATGCTTATGAGAGACTTCATATCGAAAAGAGTTTCCGAATCCTCGTCATATTTGTTGACATTGTATTCAATTACGACAGCCTCCGCAAGCTGGCCTAGTGTCAAAGGTTCTGCTGAAAAGGCGAGCCAATGCATCGCTCGTTGGATATATTCCTTCTGCGTCTCGTGAATGCTGTCAAGGATCCGCAAGTAGACAGAATCTAAGTCTCTCGGAAGTTCCTTCAAGGCAGCTCTCACAGCCTTGGGTGTTATACATTCCTGTAGAATCTGTAAAAGACAATCCACCCATCGGAACCTTAACACATCCAACCTTGTGTCAGCGTGAGTTAAATCCGAAACTTGAGAATAACTTACATTCCTTGTGAACGAGTAACGAGTGCGTCCTCTATCTCTCTCTTAATTTCCTCCGTAAACTTCTGGAAGTTATCCTTGTTGTCGAGAGAGTTCTGTACATATGCATGGATATCCGGATCGATAATTTTGGAGTGCAGTGATATTGCAAAGGTGGCAAGCGGTTGTAGGGATCTCACTATATCGGCTTCGGGACGGCTGGTGACGAGAATGGAGAGCGGTCCCGTATTATGAGCAACCGTCAGATCTCCGATCCAAGATAGGAGACTCTCCCGTGTGTCCTTGGGGAACTCATCCAAGGTGTCCAAGATGATAAAGGTCTTCCTAAAACGCTTTATAATCTGCGACAATACATCCTTCAAAGCATTGATATCTGCCGACTTTCCAATTGCCTTGGTGCTATTATATAGATCTACCACCTCACTCGGCAAACCTCTCTCCGAAGGCTCTTTTGGAAGTTGGCCGATAAGGGATAGAAGCATATTGCACAGTTTCTGCTTCTCCGAGTCGCTGAAGGTGAAGTAGAAATAGGCTAACGCGTGATCATCGCTAGTCTGGCACAGATGTTCAACATCTTCAATAACAGTAGCACTAAAGAGTGAGTTAGCAATAATGAAACATCTTGCACACCAGGATACCTGGTTAGGTTCGCACCTCAGGACACTTTTGCCACATCCAGCTACAAGACACAAATGTTAATGACATTCTCTGAAGCGCAGGGTTTCACTCAAGCCCAGACTCACGTATACCATGAAGCCAGAGAACCCCTCCGCTGCCTCCCTTCCAATCTCTGTACTCGGAGCCCTTGAGCAGCCAATTCCCCGTACCGGTTTCACGAACTGCAAGTGCAGATGAATAATTGGAGCCAGGATCCACGATGTTAAGCCATTTCTGTACTTCCTGGAATTTATTCTCTGGGGTTTCGGGAATATCCGATATTAGTAAAGAGGATAATTGGTAGGGTTAGGGATAATGTGACCGAGTACCATCTAGTTTTCGCAACACCTTTGTTACCGTCCTCCTGAGGAACTAGTTAGCCTTGCCACCGAAACGAGAGGGGAGTGGTGAAGGTAGATTTTTAGGGGACTCAAGAATGGATAACCTACGTTGTGGCTGTGGTTAATAATAGATGAAGTTTCGATCTCTGCTCTTCAACCAAGCCTAGGTAACGCTCCATTTTGGGTTTGCGAAAGGGCCAAAGATATTTTCTCGAGGACTTCCTCCATCCCGGAACATCTAGCTTGCCCTTAAGCTCCTCGAGGGCTGTGGTGTACCCTTTCAAACTTTGGTTTTTTGTCCATTCAAGAAGCTCGGGGTATTGCGGGTTGTTCTCATCGCCTTGTTCCGCAAGGCTTTGAATTTCCTTCAGCTGCTCGCCGATACTCCTAATCTCATCTCCCAGTTTCTTTAAATCTTGTTGGCTCTCCTTGTATACATGGCAGTAGTCATCGCAGAGCTGGTACACCTTCGCGCCGAGGTGAATGAGGGTCAAGCCGCTAGCAGCCAAGGAGAAGGGTTCCGCCATTTCTTTTCTCACAAATGTTGCTGGCTCGGGGAGCGGGGTGCAAGGGTGTGGGATGGCTCGCTATTTTTCGGGAGTGAAAGATGAATCAAAACCGGCGTTCGATTTGAGGTGTGTGGGCCTTGAAGCTTCAGACTCTCTTGAGCTATACTCTTCCACTGCGGAATCAAAGATGGGGTCGAATAGCGTACTTGTACGGCGACCAGAGTGTATCCTTTGGGAGCGGTGCTCTCTTAGGAGCCGGGGCGCCCGAATTCCAGCACTTTCTCTACTGGTGGTACGGTACAGTACACCGCACACAAGAACGGCAGCTGCACACCCGGTCGCTATTCTAGGCAACTCTTGGCCAACAATTATCGAGTGGACAACCCTCCATGCTCACATTTTCAGTAATGATGGAATATCCTTCCCTGTCCGATTTTCGAAGCGCGGTGTGGTTTTCCTGCTGCCGGTCCTACTCAGCGATAGAACGAGATAGGCTAGTTTTCATGTCGCGATTGAGAATGCCGACGGCACTATGCTCGTATCATACTCGTACACAGATAGATTTGAAATGCGGCTGCTCAAGCTACGAGGAGCATATTGTAGAAAATCCTAGCGCTGTGCTGAACCCTTTTGTTGATATTTTTCCGGTACCGTAGGCAGGCTTAACTACCCGGCGGTTTGCGGTACTGTACTACCGGTAGTTCTCATCCAGTCCACGTACCGGTAGATGGACAGAAAGTCTAAATGCAGGTAACCCCCGTATAACTTATTATCGGAATCAATACCTCTGCCAAGCCAGTGCACTACAGTACTCGAGTACAGTACTGGGACCGGAACTGCCGTACTATACGAGTAAACGACTCAAGTCAACTGCTTGCGCCATGCCGCACAGAATTCGATACGACGATGCCGCAGTTAGGTCTACTGGCATGCTGCTCGTGAAAAATTGGGTAGCCCCCGCCCACAGCAATGACCGTCCACTTTCGGACCCCTTTGGTTTACAAGGTTGAATAACAAACGCGACATGAGAGACATTCAGCCGCCATCTCGCAAAATTGATGAAGACATTTGCACACTCCCCTCGCAACCGCGGGGGGCGGGGGTGAACGCTTCCACTAGCGCGGAAGAGATACGGTAGGTTGACTAGGTTGATCTTGCATTTGGTGGACGTCCCGGCACAAATTTTTCTGCATAGCCAAGCTGATTCCCCTAGTGTTTTTGGGCGAAAGGGAGAGGTGCAAGTATTCGAGTACAGTACTGTCCGTACTTGTACATCATCAGACAACCATGCCTATAGGGGAAGGACAAACGCCTCATATCCACAAGAAATTACTCGGGCAGATAACCCTTCCTTTCCTTCTCAATTGGGTTCTGTTTCAACAGCCTTCGTGGATGTACAGTCGCACCTCGCTATCCCGGATGGTCAGATTTCACAGATTTTGTCCAGAACAACGGGGGGGAGAGAGCCTGAGGGAGTACTATCGTATTTCCACCGTGATAAGAAGCTTACTCTCATCAAATTGTCGTAGGCGGCATTAATACCACCGGTTCTGTTCTCCTCCTCTGGGTTACTACTAGGAATATACTCTGCCTCTATCTTGGCCTAGCCCTTTTTTTCTCATGATTGACTGGGCCAGTAACAGAGGTTTTGGGATTGAACTGGTGAATTATCTATCGTCTGTTGGGGTTTTCAAGAACCACAATCCCGGTGTTCTCACTATATGTGCTCCTCTTACTCTTTTACTCCACTGTATTTACTTTCAGTTCTGCCTTTCTTTCCTCTTTTGGACTAGCCTTTCAGCCAGTAGTTATAGCATCCGGTTCAGCAGGTTAATTTTCTATGGGAACAGGGGATATGATTTCCCAAAATCTCATACGAATCCGAAAACCCCCTTTTCCGGTTCAACGGGGTAATTTCTGTGAGGAATTAGAGGAGCCGAAGATTCTATCCGGTTCAGCAGGGTATCCGGTTCAGCGGGATCCGGGATAGCGGGGTGCGACTGTATAGCTCCCAGTCTCCTCCCCCGCCCTTTACTTTCTATCATTCACATTCCGTCCCGACCTCTTTCCTGTCGCATCCCACCACCCACCACCTAGTAGTATTCACACCCAGCCTTTTTTCTAGTCCAACAGCAGAATTCCCTCGATTGCGCGCTCTTCCACCTAACCAAAATGTATCCGGCCTGGGGCCGTGTTGGCGGATGTCTAGGGGGGTGTTTAATATGCACCTCGTTCTATCCAGATAATAAAGCGTGCTACCAGTCAACCTAACTATCTGCTTTTGCTCCCACATCGTCTACAGTTACCCTCTAGTCCCGTTCCACTTCTCCAATTTTTCCCCAACTTATTACAAATGCCATGACTTACTGTTGGCCGCTCCCCTAACCTTGCTTGGCCTTCC